ACGTAGAGCTACTACTCGTCAGTGCAGAGGAACCACCCATGTTCACGCTAGCCGAGCGCGATGGAAACTAGCGACGGGCGATGCTGGAGGAGATGAAGGCGATCGAGGAAAACGAGACTTGGCAGCTCATCGATCCACCTCCAGGATGTTGTTCGATCAGCCTAAAGTGGGTGTACAAAGTCAAGCGGGACGAGCTCGGCGCCATTGTCAAGCACAAGGCGCGCCTCATCGCCCGAGGCTTTGTTCAGCATGAGGGCATAGACTTTGAGGAGGTCTTTGCGCCAGTAGCGCGCATGGAGTCGATCCGTTTGCTACTAGCCTTGGCAGCAGCAAATGACTGGCGCGTCCATCACTTGGACGTTAAATCGACCTTCCTCAACGGCGAGCTGGTGGAGACGGTCTTCGTCAGGCAGCCTTCAGGTTTTGCCGTCAAGGGAGAGGAACATAGGGTGCTTTGACTACGTAAGACGCTATACGGGCTACGGCAGGCCTCTCGAGCATGGAACACCAAGCTTGACGCCACGCTGGGCGAGCTTGGGTTTCAACGGTGCGCAACCGAGCACGCGCTCTACACGCGGTGACGGGGGAAGGAGGAGCTCATCGTCGGCGTGTATGTGGATGACTTAATCGTCACCGACGTGCACATAGAGGATATCAACAGCTTCAAGCGCGAGATGGCGGCTCGTTTTTGAATGAGCGATCTCGGCGCACTCTCCTACTACCTCGGCATCGAGGTGAGACAGGGGAAGGAAGAACTCACGCTCGGTCAGAGCGCGTATGCCTCCAAGCTATTGGAGAGAAGCGGCATGGCTGAGTGCAAGCCATGCGTGACTCCAATGGAGGAGCGGCTGAAGCTGACGAAGGCCAGCACCGCGGCGAAGGTGGATGCGACACTCTACCAGAGCATCGTCCCGGTCTAGCGTACCTAGTTCACACGAGGCCGGACATTGCGTTCACCGTGGGCTACGTCAGTCGCTTCATGGAGGATCCCAGAGAGGATCACTGGACTGCGGTGAAGCGGCTACTGCGCTACGTCAAGGGGACGGTAGATCATGGGATCATCTTCCCAAAGACCGGCGAGAGTAGGCTGCAGCTCACTGTGTTCAGTGATGCAGACATGGCAGGGGACATCGACGGGCGGCGGAGCACCTCTGGCGTGCTCATCTTCCTTGGGTCGGCCCCAATTTCATGGCTGTCGCTGAAGCAGAAGGTGGTGGCGCTATCTACGTGCGAGGCAGAGTATGTAGCGGTGGCCACAGCGACGTGCCAAGTTGTTTGGCTACGTCGGCTGCTGGGCGAGCTGACCAGTGTGGAAGCTCACCCACCAGCACTGATGGTGGACAACCAGCCCGCCATCACCCTCGCAAAGAATCCGGTTCTGCAAGACCAGAGTAAACACATCGACGTGAAGTTCCACTTCCTCAGGGACTATGTCGATGGAGGGCAGATCGTCATTGAGTTCGTCGAAACTGATCGGCAACTTGCGGACGTCCTCACCAAGCCGCTCGGACGTCTTCGACTCATGTAGCTGAAAGAGATGATCGGCATTGAGGGGTACAAGGGTTAACAGTAGGATTAGGAAAAGATTGTTAGATAATCTACTGCTACCTTGTGTGAACACAGCAAGGGGAAGGCGGCGCCGAAAAGGCCCTCTGCTGTGATATAGTAATCGCTGTAGGTGCAGCGCCTTGATCGCACCAGTAGCACTTTAGGCACATGCAAAGGGCGGCGGTGCAGAGTCACCTACAGATGTTATATAGTCACTTGTTATGTGCAGAAGCGGTTGTCTTTGGGACTAGATGGATATAGTTGTATAAATAGACTACAACGGCAACTCAGTAAAGAGAGTTCAGATTTGCCATCTCATAGACAGGGTTTCGGCCAACGCTGGTGTCTTGTATTGTGTGTGCTTGCTCTGTTATCCTTTCTTCTTCAAGCTCCAGTCATAGTGTGTGGGGACGAACAACGCTTGTTCATGGTCGACACGGCTAGTGGGTGCTCGGCAACACTAGCGGGTGCTCGGCAAGACCGATGAGTGGTTCACTTACCTGAGCCGATGATCCTGTGGGCCAACACTCATGCTCACCGTTGAGGAGCATGTGCCACGACATGCTTCATCCTAAGCACCGCTTGAGTTTTTTTTTTGCTTTCTCTCTCGCCATGGAGGGCCGCATGCTCGGCTGCTCGCAGCGTGAGCCCAAACTCGGCAGGCGTCGAGCGTGGCCGGCGAGAGGCGACCGCGGCCTGCGCCAACGACGAGCGCAGCGGCTCCAATGAAAGCATGGACCGGCGGAAACAGCACGGCATGTCGGCGAAAGCACGGCCAAAGACGGCGCGGCGCATAAACAAGCCTGCGCACCAGTAGCGGCGCGAAGCGCGGCAGCGAGCGAAGAGAACCACGATGGCAGACAGCGCCATGCGCGCTGCTGGCGGGCGGCCAGCAGCGTCAGACGGTGACGGCAGCGGCGCGACGATCTTGGCGGCGGCTTTGGGACGGCGAAAGCACGCTGCGCAGGCGGCGGCTAGCGCGGTGGCGCGGCCTGGGGGAGGCACGGCGACGGCGCGGACTGCGGGACAGCGAGCGCGTAGTCCCATCGCGGCCCCTCCCGGTAGAAACCACCAGTTTCTTGCCAACGGCGAAGTGACGGTTTCTTCATGCCTCGTTTCACGAGTCAACTTGGTTTCTAAAAAAATGGTTTGATCGTATTTCCTTCTCTTTCCTCAGTCAATCGGACTGTCACGTTAGTATTTTACTTAGTTAACAGCAAAATTAATAGAGATAGAAAGTACCAATAACGTCCCGAGACACCCCAAATCAATCCCTCGGCCGTTCTTCGCCGGCGTCAAACGCCCCGACACGCCGTTTGTGCTCATGCACGCATTATTGACCGCAGGTGGTCAAGTCAAGTGCCGTCCCATCGGCAAACAGTAAGTACCCAGCTCGCCGTTGTCCTCGCATGGCACGGAACGGATCATAGCCCGCGCGGACGTAGACGGCGGGCCCCACGGCCGGGGCGGACGTGGATGGCCGGAGCCGGGTGACGAGACGATGCATGCTTCATTTGCGTTGACCAGTGGCCGGGCCGGGTCGTGGTTTCCTCCCGCGTTGCTGCTGCGCGGACCGCAGCATGGCGTGCACGACGCACGCGGGTGAAAAAAAAAAACCCAGGCCGGCCCTCGCCGCCACGGCTCCCCCAACCGAACCCCGCCATTTTTTTCTAACCCGACTCGCTCCGTCGCCTCGCCCCACCCGCCATTTATTTAGGCCGCCGCAACCGCCAAGGCACTTCCCGAAAAACAAATCGAGGCGAGGCGAGGACGAGGGGAGGGACGGAGACTTGTGCGGCGGAGTAGCTGCTCGCTTCACACGGGGGGTGAGGAGGAGGCGAGGAGCCGAGGAGGAGCAGAGCTTGCGGCTGGGGGCGAGGAAAAGTCAAAGGCTCGCAATCCCCTCCGGCTCCTTCTCGCCACCCTCTCCTTCTTCCTCGTCTGCTCCGCCTACCCCGCACGTTTCGCTTCCCCTCTTTTAACAACGCCCACCACCGCCACCGCCACCGCCGCAGTCGAGCAGAGCGTCCCTCCTCTCCCTTCCTCCCTCTCGCTATCCACTTGCGGGCGTCTCGCTGAACTGGTTGCGCCGTACCGGTCGGGGAGCTGCGCTCCGTCTCCACAGGTGATTCTTGCGCTCTGTGATGTACGTACATGTACTCGTACTTGATGTGGGTAGATTTTGTCCTTGGATTGCTGGTGCTGTTGGGCAGCTGAGGTTTCTTCTCGGGTGGTTTTGGCTGTGGCTGGGGCGCGTGATTGCGTAAAAACCGAGAATTCCTCGGGGGCTTCTCGACGAATTTCATGTTCCAATTTGCACTTGTGTCGTTTAATTCTTCATTCACTGCTTCTGAATCGTGTCCACGTACAGGACCATGAAAACCCCTCTTCCAAGTCTAGATAGCAATTACCTTTAGTTTGCTTCAGCACGTTCGTGAGTTCTTCGGCTTGGGGTTGGCTGATTCCAGAGTGAATTTTCGCCCTCTTTCGACTTCGATTACACTTCTGATTTGGATTTGGGGGGCATAGAAAGCAAATTGCCTTTGCCATGTCTTGTCTCAGGATTGGGCGTTGCTTCATGTGCGTAAATGGCGTAAATATGTTAAGTTCCTCTAGCTTCAGGTACGATTTGATTTGGGACGTAGAAACCACTAGCAATTGTGCATGTATCTGTACTGTACAACGGGGAAGTCATCTGCTCCTCAGTTCTTTGGGGTCCTCAAAGATTCAGTCATCCTCTCTTCTTCTTTTTTCCTGGCTCAGAAAAGCTCACCATGAATCGGGATGCAATTTGCATCCATTCTGTCGGCGTCGGATGGTTATCACAAGCAACTAGGAGGAGGAGTCATCGCCATCTACTATGGTTAGCCATTTTCCACACTCCAACGGACATGATTGGCCCTCCTGTCGCGTTAGGTGCTGGTTCCTTTCGGAGCCGCGAGTACATGTGACAGTCCTTGCTTGGTTTCTTAAGTTGGTGGGCGAATTCAAGGTTGACTTTGTCCTTGACTTGGCTAAAGCTTCCTTGCAGCTGAAACCGGAGATATCTTAGCTTGGTGGTCTCACACTTTTATGTGATCTTCCTATCTTGTAGTAGTACACGTAGACTTTACTGTAGTGACCTGATCAGTTAAAATGTGGTAACTAAATAACGTACTTCAATATGTCACGTCATTATATTGCCAGCGCCTTTTCTCTCAAGTGGTCCAATTGGTCAGTTTTGAACACGCAAATTGTTGTTTACGCCAGAATTTGCCATGTGAATCCAGTGGCTACTTGCCAATGCTAGCTGTAACTGTACTTTTCTTTCTTTTAAGATTCATTTACTATTCCAGTGGATCTATTGAATTGAACCCTTGTCTGATAGTCTGGTTGACATATCTTTGTTTTTCAGAAACTGCTTCCAAGTCTCTAGCTTCTCTGTGGTCGCATCAGCAATTGTGTTGGTAAAGATGGCTTGCTGCTTTATGTTTGGAAAGAAAGCTAAACAAACCGTTGAAGGCGATGAAGGTTAGCTACTTGTGCTCATATTAGCATTGCTTCTTTAACTTTGTACCTTCAAACAATTTCCGATTCTTACAGTGCTTGCTTTCTTATTCCAGATCTACACAGTGTCAAAGTTTTTTCTTACAACGACTTGAGAATGGCTACACAAAATTTCTGTGGCGCAAACAAGATTGGCGAGGGTGGTTTCGGTTCTGTCTTCAGGGTAAATATGCACGACTTTTTTTCAGCACTTCATCAGTGTCTTGTGCATACAGTATGAAAAATCCTTGGCTTACATTTTAACCTTGGTCAAACAGGGAATGCTTAAAGATGGGACACTAGTAGCAGTGAAAGTTCTATCTGCTACTTCAAGGCAAGGCATCCGCGAGTTTTTGACTGAACTTACAGCAATATCTGATATCAAGCATGAAAATCTCGTCACTCTTATCGGTTGCTGCGCTGAAGGCTCTCACAGAATCCTTGTTTACAATTACCTTGAGAACAACAGCCTTGCACAGACATTGCTAGGTGACACATTGTTCTGCCTAATGCCTCAACACATTGTCTATATCTTCATAGTTTTCATACTTACAGATGTTTCGGCTATGCCATCGCAGGATCCAGATACAGTAACATTCGGTTCAATTGGCGGGCTCGTGTCAAAATTGCAGTTGGCGTTGCCCGTGGACTTGCATTTCTCCATGAGGAAATCCGTCCTCCCATTATCCATAGGGACATAAAGGCAAGCAACATTCTTCTTGACCAGGACCTCACCCCGAAAATTTCCGATTTTGGGTTGGCAAGGCTCCTACCGCCCAACGCGACGCATGTGAGCACCCGAGTAGCAGGCACACTGTAAGCATACGCTAATTCCTTTTGTGAGGCTTCTTTCATATAACTGACAGTAGCACTGACTTTTTATCCCATTTATGTTCAGAGGATACTTGGCTCCTGAATACGCAATCCGAGGTCAAGTGACAAAGAAGTCCGATATCTATAGTTATGGTGTTCTTCTTTTAGAAATTGTTAGTGGGAGATGCAACACCAACACAAGATTACCTAGTGAAGATCAATTCCTCCTTGAGAGGGTAAGCCCCTGTTGTCACATATCCGATAAACAACCTGCAAAAAACAAACCTGGACAATTTTGTCTAAATTCACACGAATCAGTGTGCCCGGGACAAAAAAATAAGAATAAATTACTGACCATAACAACTATGCTGCTTCTCTTGCAGACATGGGTACTCTATGAGGAAGGACGTTTAGAAGAGATTGTAGATATCGACATCAGCGACGACCTGGATGTTGAGGAGGCATGCCGGTTCTTGAAGATTGGCCTGCTATGCACACAAGATGCAATGGCGCGTCGTCCTAACATGACCAATGTCGTTCGGATGCTCTCAGGGAAAAGAGAATCAACATAGACAAGATCACTAGGCCTGCCATGATCACTGATTTTGCAGATCTCAAGATCAGCAACAAGGAGAAAAGACAAGGCGAGACACGCTCTCCCACGATGACTCCCACGACGAAATCATTCACCACCACAGAACCTTTCTGGTCGTCGGAGACGCCCACGCAGTCATCCATGTGAAATTGTGGGCGTAAGAAGCAGATTTTTTGTTTTCAGTTTGTATAGTGTGTGAACGTGGTAGGTGGGCCCTGGTTACATGAATTTTTTTGAAGAGTTTGTTGTTTGTTTCGTTATGAGGAAAGATCTCATAGGTCTCTTATTGCATCTTTGATGCTGTAAATATTTCAAAATGAAGATGATCGAGATAAGATTTGCGCGATTCTCATTCTCTACCAACTTGGACTGCTGCAACTTCAGTGATTATTTGGATCAGTTCACCTTGTATCTCTTGGATTTCTGTCCCAGGGTATACGAAGGAGAGCTGCTTATCTTTGCACTGTTACGTGATAATAAGTTTTTGACGTCTCTAATCTCGCCCGGAAGCCAGATAAAAAGAACACCCAAATTTCTAGTACTAAAGGTGTACCTGACGTTGACAGCACGTCATGCCGATGTCGGCAGAAAAGAAAATGTCCAAGTGTCGCACATCTCAGCAGCACAGCGACGGTCAAGTGGCTCCGAGTTTTCGCAGTGATGCTGACAGGCAGTTGAGGAAGAGCGAAGAACCGATCAAACCTGAAATCCTTGCACACCAATGCACGAGATTTCGGACAACAAACGCGTCGCCGTCGTCATCGAGTACCGCCTGTATCGCTGCAAAAATTGCCCGGCGAGAACATGTCAAACATATACATATGCTGTCGGAATCGATGCCCCTTCAAGTCTTTTAAAAGCGATTGACCCCCATGCATTGCATTATTCAGAGATCACATATTCACGTTCACATCAGCTTGTGTTTTTTAGCAGAGTTCCAGTTCAACGTCTGTCGCTAAGCAAGTGTACCCTGCTGCCAGATAAGCCAGGAGGATGTTCTTGCAGAGGGAGCAAAACCATCAGCGAAGTAAACGATAGCTCACAAACTGAACCTTTTTTTTCCCTACTAGAGAACACTGGTCAAACTTTTGCAATTAAAATTTAGGTGTGAACAGAATACTCATAGTATAGAATAATATGAAAGTATGGCTAATATGCAGGACATAATAATCTGAAACTATTACACACAACAAAGTTCCGACTTCTGACTGTTGTTTGAGCTGACTGCAAGATTTCTGAATATCAGTACGGAAGTATGGTGCATTGAAAATCGAGGCCTAAGATTTGTCTCCGGACAATGGCGTAGACAAAGTTTCCAACAATGGTGAATAAAGAATACTGCATAAAATTCATACTGGACAAGAACAAAGAATTCTGAACGAGTTTAACAGAAAAAGAGTAGTTCCAGGTAAACTGAACTGAATGCTCTATGCTCTCTACAAAACATTCATCAATTGAGAGCTCCACGAAATGGGGGGGTGGGGGGGTGTCATTTCTGAATTACAAGTCATTATAAAGGGTAGCTAAATGGCAGGAAGAAACGGTTGGCTTGCTAAACCAGCGGCATGTACTGAAGCAAAGGTAACTCAGCACCCCATTATTGCACAGTTGTAAACGAAGACGCCTGCACGTTCCTTCACCGAGAGAACCTCCCAGTCAGCACCACCTTCCCCACCTTCGGGGCACCAGGAATGAAGCAGTATTACCTCGCCACGAGGTCCTCTATGCCCTCCAATTACCAGCAATCTATCGCCACAAGCCTTGAAAGCTAGACCCCAACCATTGGATGAGTCAGCTCTAACAGGCAATGGCTTCACTATGTTCCAGGCGTTATTTACCTTGTCATACTTCTTGACCACATTTGTCGACTGATCAGCGGCGTAGAGCTGGTTATTCACAACAGCAACAAGAGGAGGCGATTGAGATGCACTGGTTCCACCAGGGTACATATCAAGTATTCTTCTCCAGGTCCTTGTTTCAAGGTTATATTCCTCTCCACAAGTCAATGAATCCCTCTGACTCGATACGCCCCCAATGACATAAAACTTGCCATCCATGAAGAAACCTGAAGAGAGCCGCCTGGGCAGGTTCATGTCTGGGATAGTCTCCCAGTGGCCAATCTCTGAGTTGTACAACTCAACAGATCTCAGCACCTGTCCATTCTTATCACACCCACCAGCAACAATAGCAATCTCACCTGAGCTTCCCGAGGCAAAAAGGCAGCGGGGCAGATTCATTGGAGTGCATGGGGACCAACTGCGAGTCAGTAAGTTGTACATCCAAATAGCAAGGCCAGTATATTCACGGCCAAAGACAAGCAGCTGTGTTCCGACGGCAAGTGATTCCTTATCTGCACAGGAGAAGCACTCGTCGCATGGCATTCTCGGGAGCCTCATCCACCGCTTCCGCGAAGGATCAAATGCTTCCCAGGGCATCAAGCTACAAGCGAGATACACCCAGTGCTCAACGATGCCATATTTCCTTCTCAGTTTGTACAGATATCCACTGTTAATTAACAAATTGAATCTTTTGTTCAGACAAGAAAGGGAAGGGTAGTCTGATCTGCTTGCCCAAGCAAGGCAGTCTTGAGACAGGTCATCATGAAGGCCTGGGAAGTAGCAATCATTCGATCTGTTGCTACTTGAATCACCTCCTGATTGAGCCTTCGAAATAGGTTTCTGCTCCTTCAGTTCAAGTTCTTCACTATCCAAATCTGTAGCATATGGAAAGAAATCTAATTCTGAAATATCACAGAACACATCTGAGTGTTTCTTCGACTCCCCAGAGAAGTAGTCATTCCTGACCAACAGAAAGTAAGCTAGTATGTACTTCTGCCATGAACTCTGATCCTGCTGGCCAAACAGCCTAAAGAGATGCAGAACCAAAGAGCCCGGAAGGGCAACCAGGCTTTTCGAGTTGCAATCTTGTAACTCTTCCATTATTTGTCTGATCTATGACAAAATCGAGGACTCAAGGTCAGAAAGATCAGAGGCCCACACTGGAAAAATCAAGAGACAAACTATCAGAAAATGCATAACGTTCATTGACAAGTTTCACACGAATTGTGGATTAAAAGCAGAGTATATAATAGATACAAGATACTTATACTTCCATGGCAGATACCAGGCCACAGAAAAACATTCAACTTCATATTTGAACGCTTGCTAAGACATATCTTCATTGCTGATCTCAAGCTTTGCGGTATCCAGAATCAACTAAAATTCTAAACTACAGCGCTAAAAAACTCAAAGATACTCTCCCACAGAATTTTTCTTTGAGGTAAAGCTACTCTTCTTTCGTTGTTGATAACAGTATAAGCAAGGCAGCAAGAATACTGCTGCACGGCAGACACCTAATTCAGTCAGATCATATCAATCGACCAATAAATCACACAAGAGCAAGCGCTTGATGAGTCGTTACCATGACTAGGCTACATTTGTAACAAAACAGCTGCACAAGATTTTAAAAAAAAGCACAATGCTAACTCGACTGATTCCTGGTTTAACAAAGCTAAATGCGCATACAGTCTTAAACAAGTTTCGCGAGAGAAATGCGGAGATGGGAGAGCCCTTGGCACATTTCTGTTACCATTGTCTCAAAACTGAAGAAAATAAATATACGGATGTTCCCCCGCTGATTCCCTTAGTCATTATTATTGTTCCAGACGCAAGGCCAAAGGCCAAAAGCCTTCACTCTACGAACACGAAAGAAACTAGCAAAGATTTACCAGATGCCGTCAAAATACCACCCTATTCAAACTGAAAATCGGCTCATCCACCAGCAAGAAACAACAACGCATACCATGTGGCTACTCTACAACAAAATGCACTAAAAATCAGGACTCTCTGGCTCCAACCCACTCCACCTCCCAAAGAAGAAAGGAAACAAACACCTTTCCCCAACCAATTCACTGCCATTGTCTCCAGAGTCCAGACCTCCACTCCACCAGAAGGAACTACGCCACCAGCAAAAGCTAAGTTTCTTTGGCAGCTCACCACTACGGTTTCGGTTTGCACACACTCTGAAACCGATAAGAGCAAAGGAAAAAAATAATAATACTAACAGACAACAACAACAACAAAAAACAGCACCCCGCTTTGGAACGGAAACGAAAGATGTGAACACGAGAGAATTGAGGCGCCTCACCTCGCCGAGACGCGCCGCCGGCGAGATCCGGGCCACCGGCTGGCGCCGGCCGCCTGCATCCCGGCGCCCAGCACGCGGGGCTCGCCGTCCTCCAAGCGACCTGCGAGAACGGGCCACGGGGAAAGCGGTTACACTCCGCGTCACCGTCACCTCGCCCAAAAAAAACGAACGAAAATGTGGCGACCGCCCGCTCGGCGGGCGCCGCCGGGACGTGCGCGGCGAGAGCAGTAGCTCACCGGAGTCGGCCGGATCTCTTGGCCGGGACAGCGGTGGAGCGGCGGGAAGGAAGGAAGGGGGGCTCGCCGACGAGCGGGGCCGGGTGGGCGTCGGGCGGTTGGGGGCCACCGTCAGTGAGACGGGGAGGGAATGGGGGGCGAGGCCTGGAGCGGTGGGGGGAAAGGCGTATATATATATGGAGGGGACACCCATGTGCTTAGCCCGGGGGTTGGAGTGCCAAATGGCTCACTAGTTACCTTTACCCTTTTCTACGCTTTTACTGTTACCTCGGCTACCATGCTTAATCCCACTGTTATCTCGAAAATCAGCCAGTTGCGTTAAAAAAAATTGTCACCTTCCCATTGGACGGCTCCTGCCTCGTATTTCGAGACAAAAAAAAAGTTTATCCGATTGGTTGGATCTGGACGGTGCCTATTGGCGGCTCAAGGGCCGGCCATCGCAGGGATTCAAAACCTGTGTGATTTTAGATGATTCAAAATGCATGTATATCCTGTGTCAGAAATGGGAGAATCTCAAATAATAGTACGAGTAGATAATAGATGCACTGGCGCGCACGTACCTGCATAGATCCAGCAGCTGAACACATCGCAGAGCCTGTACTTGGCTTGCCATCCCACTTTTTTTCTTTCTGTTGTTATAATGGAATGTTTTTTCACAGTGTACTTGCGCCTGGCTGGCCTCTCTCTCTAGGATTCAGAGGGACGGGGGGGGCAACCAAAGTGGCGGATGACCGAAAGCCAAGGGCGTGTAGGCCAGTGCAAGCACGACCATTTTTACCCCACGTTGAAACGCGACAGAAATGAAAAGCGACAACGCAATGCCATCGACCATTATTGATACATTATCTTTTTGCAACAATAATGTAATGTGGGACGCATAATCAAAGGTGATTTGACCGGAGAGAGTTATAGCCCCGTTCGCTTGCACTTGAAAAAAAAACCAAACACTGTTTCAGCTGATTTGTTGTGAGAGAAAAACACTATTTCGACTTAAAAAAAAGCTGAAAAAGACGGATTATATGAGAAGCGAACAAAGTCATACAGCCTGTTTTTGTTGATTTCAATCAAACAGTGTTTTGCTCTCACAATAAATCAGCATCAATCAAATTTATCAGCTCAGAAACCAACCAACGAAGTGACGATAGAATACTCCTACTAGCAGAAGCAGAGCAGTGGCAGCATTTCCCTTTTATATCTTGGCTCTGAAGCAAATTCTAGAAATACCTGAGCAGCAGAGTATTTTACTAGTAGTACTAATAACTTTATATGGCTCCCATCCATCCATCGTATATTCAATCCGGGTGCCAGGCTGTCCGTTGTGGATAAGGACTGCTGTCTTGTCAAGCGGTAAAGTTACCGCCCCGGTAAATGGGAAAGCTGGTTTGTTTACCCTGCACCCACGTCTCCCTCCTTTCCCTTCCCAGCGCCCTAATCCACCACTCGCTACGCTAATTAATCCGCCCCCGCGGTCAAAGCAGGAGCAGTCGCCGCCGCGCGAGGAGGTGACAGGCAGGGCTCTGGGCTCGCGACGCGAGTGGCCGGCGATCGCTTGCGGTGGTGGCGGGGAGGTGAATTCCGGACTAGTTTAATGAAGCGGCCGGCCACGTTTGATTCGGGCTCGCCCTTTGCTTTGACCCCAGCACGAAAGCCGTCGCCGCCCTGCCGGCCGTCCGGCACGGCCGGGCCCTGGGTGAAAGTTACAGCGGCCGGCCGTTTGACTCTCCGGGGGGTTTTCTGGACCTTTTTCTGGTGGGCTGGACGGCGAGGAGTGCGTTCCGGTGATGTCAGGCTGGGGGGGCAGTGGCGTGCGTGCGTCGTGGTACGTACAAGGGGCAGGGAGGGAGGACAGGATAATTCCCCGTCTGTTGCGTCCGTATGCGTGCATGCATGCATGCCCGGATCGTTCACGTCAACCGCGTGACTGCGTGAGCTTTGTTTGTTTTGTCTCGCCGCGCGCGACATCTCTGACCTCTCTCTCTACATGCACGCACTGCTGGCTGCTGCTGTACCTGTACCCCGGGAACTCACTTCCCACCGAACGGAGCATCGGTGCCTTGCTGTGTGTTACTCTCGAAACGGAGGCGCGCGTGTTTTTCTGGCAGGCAGGAATTGAATTCTACAGCCGGCCTACAGGCAGCTAGAAGGGGTATTTGCTGCTGTTGCACGGCCGCGGGCACCCAGGAGAAACAATTAATCGTACGCCCGCTCCGTCCGGCCCAAACGCGGCCGTAACAAGGATGTATCACCAGTCGCGACCTGTCCCGTCGCTAGCTTTTCATTGAGAGATAGCCAGATCGAAGAACCCAACCATATAGGAGTATGCGTCATGTGATGCGCCCGCGGACCGGACACCGGACCGAGCGACAAGCCAAAGCCAACCAAACTGCCGAGGCCCGCCCCGCCCTAGTCCCGAAGGAACCATCGCGTCGAGATCATGGTCGGCCGCGCGACCGACCGACCGACCGAGAGAAAAGCCCACCTCGTCTTCCGATCCTCCGCTCCGCCCCGATCGATCTATCTGCCACCGGCCGGGCGGCGACGACGACGACGGGGCCCCGGTAGTGCAAGTACACGCATCATGCCAGCACTGTTGCCTGGAAATGTGCAGATCTGGTTGCCGCTGATAGGAGCGCACAACTGGCTCCTGTGGCATGGCCTGGCCGGCGGCTCCAACGCGACATTTGCATGCATGCTCGCTCCTGCCGTTCCACTCCGGCCCATCGCTGCTTCTTGCGTACTGGTACTGCCATTTCCTGAGGACCCATAAAATACGTGGCGTACCCAGTACAGCAAGCAGTACCAAACTTTTCCACCTCGCAGATACCCGCCATAACTCATGGATAACGACTCCCGGCCTGTTTGTTTCCTTTGCCAAACCTTAGCGTCTCAAATCAAGAACTCCTTTATTAATAGTCTGAGCCAGCGAGATCCTAACCCGGCCTCTTTACAGTACCACTAGTATATAGCCATATAGGAGTACTACCACCACTCTGCAGTAGTAGCAGTACAAGGAGCACAGCACAGCGCGCACAGCTGGAGTAGTGGCTGCCGGGTGCTGTGGCTGGGTACCTTTTTACGAGGGGGAGAGAGTGCTCTCTGCTCTGTCTGCAACTGCGACCGCGAGAGGCGATACCACAAGTGGAAAAAAGCAAGGGTGCGTCCAAATGGAATGGAATTGTTCCATCACATGATGCTCACATGCGTGCATGCGCGCGCCTCGCCCTGATGGATGGTGGAGGCATTGGTGGCGGTGACAGCGCCGGTGTTGGCCCCCCCCCTCTCATCCTCCCGTCCCCTGATCTGATAGGATAGGTACTCCGTATATAGGTAGATCCACCCACCAACCCAGTCCCTTGCGTCTTTTTGGGTTCCGGTTCCGGGTTTATTTATTTATTCATTTCTGGCCGGTCTCCTCCCTCCCTACGCTGTCGCTTTGTACGGTACCCCGCCCGCCCCATCCGACATACTCCTACCATACTATACGTACGGGCATACGGCTGCTCTACCAGTCTACTACGCTTTCTCTCTTTTAAGAAACTGCCACGGGAAACGCGGTACACTACTCCGTAGACCGTAAGCAAACACCAGCAGATGCTACCGCTGTTCAGTCTAGCAGTGGCTGCTACAGCTCTGTACTTGCCGGGCGCTGTAGTACCCCGAGATTCCGTCTTATCTGCCCGGGCAACAAATAAACTTTCTACTGAGGCAACGAAAATCGAAGCCGGCCATCAGGAACGTTTCACCGGCCGGGCTGGGGGCCCATGCGTGCCGCAGCCGGACCGGACGACGAGCGGCTTTTGCCTTTTCGCACGCACGACGGCACGACACGTGACGAGGCGGAGCGGACAAGCGAGGTTATACCGCAGCCCTGGCCGCGAAGCGAGGAAACGGAAGGGAAGGAAGGAACGGGGGGCGCGGGGCCTCGGCAGGCAGGCAAGGCCAGGTGGTGTGGTGGTGGCGGCACGTGGCCATTACTCGTGTTCGTGTAGGTGCGCGGGGGCCGGGGGTGGGCGTGGCGGTGGCGGGCGGCGGTGGGCGACCCAGCGCTAATAATCCCGCCCATGTGAGCCTTGCCAGTGGCAGGTCGCGCTTAATTATTCGCGGCCCCATGCGGTCCGTAGCCGCGTACGTAGCGTAGGAGGGCGAGAGGCGCGGAGGCGGAGGCGGAGGCGGCGGGCCCGAGCTTTGCCATGCCCCGGCCCTGGTCTCCCCCCTACCCCCTTCGTCGGTTCGTTCCTTCGTCCCGGCGGTCTAGGTCTAAGCAACTAGCAAGCGGCAGCAAGTCGCGGCAGCGCTCGCACGCGTCCTGCTGCCTGCCTGCCTGCCTGCGTGGTGTGGTTGCCACCGCGTCCACGGGACGATAGCGAGACCAGCGAACCTGCCCGTCGTCGCATCCCATCTTATGGAGTCATCCCATCATCGCCTTTAATAATGGCCCCTGACACTACATTATCTAAAATCCAATCTGCTACTAGTACGTGCAGATGACGCTACTTTCCCACGCAACCGAAACCGTTAAGCGGCCACTCAAGGATTGGACGCCTTTTGTGTTGTGCCGACCCCGCCCAGCCGCTATCAATCAAAGCTTTTATTTATTACTAATTAACAAACAAGGGACTGGGCTACTTCTCGCTTTCATGCTATGCTGGCTTTCCTTCGCCTGTTGCATTGCTCACGCATACACCACCTTGGTTCCAGATCCGCAAGTGGATGCGGATCCGCGTTAGATCTGCAGCGACCACCCAGCCGGCGTATTAGATCCGCAAGTGGATGCGTAGATCCGATGAGGAAGAAAAGGATCTGCAGCCAAAACCCCGCCCTGG